ATTACGTAATATTACGGTTTTCTTATGCTTCGTAAATTATTGCGCAATATTACGCCCTATTAAATTTGCTGATGTATCATGGAGACTACAATATCCAATAAATGGACATGAAGCTGAAGAATTCAAAGCAGAATTTCACAGACAAATGAAAATATCCAATTTAAACAAGAATTCACAACAGGACTTAAAATCTTGATGAAGAAAATGTTACCAACAGGAAGACACCATGGAGAAAACTATTGGAGTCAAATGGTATCATACGACCCTAATATAAATTCAGTAGAATTATTTTGGGCAGCAATGCACTGAACATATGCATTCTACAAAATATTAGAAGTAGGAGAATTCTTTCGAAATAAGAAACAAAAGGAAGCAAATAACATCCAATTCCAAAAAAGAAACTTTATACCTAAATATAACCTAAAGAATGTAAAGGTACCACAACCTACAGAAAACTTTAACTTTACTTCCAAACCACAAAAGGAAATCTACCTTCAAGATAAACCCAGAAGGACACCAAAAGAAAAAAACTATGGTATTGTAGATATATCTAACCTACAATGTTATGCATGCAGAGAGAAAAGACATTTCTTTAAAGACTGTAACCAGAAACAGTATTTCAAAGGATTTAAATTATTCTACAACAAGAGATATAATACTTATAGAGAAAAAGAACAAAGAAACTAATCCCAAAACCAAAATCAAAACAAATTTCAAAAAGTATTTAATTCACGAAGAATTGGAAGACTCCCAAGAACACAATAAGCAACCACTGTGTTTACACCAAAACCAATAGCTCAATTCCAACAGGAATAACACTTCAAGGAAGCATCGAAACCAACTATGTCTTTTAACCAATACAAGCAACTAAGAGCTAAAAGATATATAGCAAATAAAAGAAAAACATATATACCACAGGTTAAACAAGGACCATTTAGACCAGGAAGATTTGACCCAAAATATAGAATCACCTTCAAGAAACCTGAAGAAACTCAAAATAATAGAAACTTTAGAAGATTAAGAAGAAAATATGATTCTAAATCACCAACTTGTACCAATTGTGAATCATACTCACATGCAACCAAGGATTGCTATAAAAACGTTTCACCAATGGAAACAAACCATTTAAACAAAAGAAATAAAGAAACTTATTACCACAAAAAATCATCTGATTCTGAAGCAACCTATATTGACTACGATGAAGTAGCCGAATATGAAGAATTTAAGAAATATAAGGAAGCAATCAGTGTATACAGAAATAGCACTAAAGATTGTTATAACAGAAAAGAAATATCAAACCTTAAAACTGTTAATAACAAAATGAAAAATCTAAGTATACAATCAAACAGAAAAGAAACTCAACATGAAGACTATTATGAACAACAGTATTTCATGTAGGAGGCGTGCCCTATACTCACGATCTACCTCCAACTCCTTACACTGGTTGTAAGAAGAGTTTATTTATAATTCAAAATATAATAAAGAAATATATAATTATAACAAAATATTTAATAAAAGAAACCAATTTGAAAATAATATAAACTTTGCCAAATATCAAAATTTATATTTTTCTAAACAAACTATTATAAATCCTAAGAAACCTAAAGCACCTAAAGGATTTTACTTTATTGCTTTAATTAATGACATACAAATAGAATATAAACTAGATGAAAGCTCAACTAATAGCATTATGGGAATAAACCATGTCTATCTACAAGGATTACACAATATAACAAACAAACCAGCTACTGCACAAGCAGTAGGAAACAAAGTTTTTTTTTTTTTTAATTATAAGGGTGTAGCACCCACACTTAGACTTTATTTAATACTTAAATGATTGACATATGATAGTGCTGATATATATACATATTACATCAAGTACTAAGACTAGGACATCAGGTATACAAACCATTTATCCATGGCTAAAACCCACCAGAGCCGACCATATCCCCGCTAAGCAGCTAATCTGGATTTATACATCCCTCCCCAACCACCAATTAGTATTCACATGTCCACCACATTACCCACAAACCATTTATCTTCAACTCCCAAATTGGTGTATACCAGGTAGGCGCTTATTGCTTCCAATTTGGTGTGCCTGTCAGAGAGATTTTCTCCCTCAATCCCTACTTAGCATACTTTCAGAAGTTCGTATCTCAAGCTATGCAGCTGCCTCTACTTAAACAGATAAGTATCTCAAGCCTGCATGCTGCTGTAACTAGCTGGTTTCTTGCGACTTTTATGACCCAGGTCTTAACATATCCAATTAGATCTGTGCTAACGACTATACTTTCCAATATAGTGACGAGGCTGCCCAGGCATGTTTCGCAAATGCTTCTAGTAGTCAGTATAGTTGGAGAGCATCATGAGGCTCAGAGGTAACAGGTGCGTTATCGTTTCTTTTTATAGTGATTCTTGGCAGTTGTAGCCTCTGGTTACTACTACATGCGCTTACACTAGCTTTATCTATATTGGTGGTCCCGAGTCCTCTTAGCACCAAAGGCTCTTATATATATACGACAAGAGTAGGAAACAAAGTTCAAATTTTAGGAAAAATGATAGTTGATATCAAAATCAATGAATTCTTAACAAAACATATTAAAATAGATGTTCTTAACACTTATTTAGATTATGTTCTCATAAGCAACAATACTCAAGCAGTCCTAGGTATTAAAAAAGATACTACAAACCACTCTATCTTTATTAATTCAAACCCTATCTATAACCAACGAACCTATAGCCAAAGCAACAGTAAGGTTAGCTTATTTGAAAAGTACCTCGGTACTAAGTATTATGAGCACCGTTCTCACTAACCGATCAAGGATTTTAGTTCCAAAAATCTGAGACACCAAGAGAACAAGGTGCCCAATATTATGAGAAACAAAGGATCAAGCTTACAATATCAACACTTGATGAACGTGTTGAAAAACCAAAATATTTATCAAAACAGGACCAACCACCCACACCAATACTTGACGAACAACGTATCAAAGAATCAAAATATTTACCAACAAGGGCCGAACTCGCAACACTCATTCGACCCCAACATTAATAAAAACCAAGAGACTTATCCACAACACCAAAATTATGCCATAGGTTTATCACAAAATTTACAAAACTATCTGAAGCTCCAACCTAAAAAAACAAATAATGTATAGAAACAAAGCTCTACTACTACTACATAACATAATCATCCACAAATTACTAGACAATATATCATAGAATCAGCTATACAACTATTCTTTAAAATATGTGAAACTAATAAACAAAGAAACAAAGCTATAGGCACCACATACGATGGTGCATGACACAAAATAGTAGAAGCAGTCATTCAAACCAATTGCAACATAGTCTAAACGTTCCTATAGTATTTGCCAATACCAAATATACAAAACTTTAGAGAAGATATAGGAAGTTATTTAACACTGAAACAAAGAGAAGTCGATATACGAAATGATACTAATATAATGAACGGAAATGCAATATCAAAGTTAAAAATAATTATACACACTATCATGGAATTATCAATAAGTGATTATTATTTTGATAGAACAGGTAAAGTTAATTTGAAAAACACAAAGAATCGCAGAAGAAGTACAATAAGCATCCAATATAGGAGCCAAATATTATGTACTACATATAGGCACATCTAGAGATAAAACTAGAAATTTCAAGAAGGAAATTAAACGAAATATTAAGTCGAATAGCCAAAACAAATGTTATGATATTATTAGAAAATTCAGCCTCACAAAAATGTTATAGTACCACAATAAAAGAATTAGAAGAAATAAGAGGCATGATTGATAAGAAATACTGGTATACCAAAAACAATTACACTAACAAGACAAGAGATCAGATAAAATTCTGTTTTGACACACAACATTACTTCGCCGCTGGAGTTGGTAGAACTCTCGAGCAATATGAAGAAGTATTAGAGAAACATGGCTATGATATCAAACTATTTTATCTAAACAACGTTTCGAAAGAAAGAAAACTAGGAGATGGACGCATCTTACAGCCAACTATCTTTGGAAGCGGACAAGACGTGCATACACACATAATGCATGGACAACTTGAACAAGAAATATTCAAAAAAATAGTACAATACGCCAAAACTGTAGTAATAGAAACACCAAGAAAAACAGAATGGGATATAAAAGAACAAATTAATGAGATACAAATACTAGCACGTAGGACCCGGCGTTGCTCGGGTTCTAGTTTTTAATTTTTTGCTAATTCTTAGGTCTCAATAAATTAGCTTTTAGAACTAAGTATCATTTTTTATT